GGATGGATGGAAGGAAGGAAGGAAGGAAGGAAGGAAGGAAGGAAGGAAGGAAGGAAGGAAGGAAGAAGAGCCCATTTCTGAAGTCTTCTTGGCAACTGTTGGAAAGAGGCCTTTCCTTCCCAGCCCTAACCTCAGCCCCGGATCACCTGGTGGCCTCCTTTCCATCTGATCCTGCTATTTTGAATTAAACTAGGACAAATATATTATTTTCCGATCCAGCCGTACAGCCACCAACCCATTGCCCCAGGCCGGCCCTCTGCCCAAGACCGGGGAGGCCCCATGGGGAGTGGGGGGGGGCCCTTAGCAAGTTCCCAAACTGAGATGGCGTCCCCTTGGCTTACCCAGCCGGGCCTCCACGGGGTTAATGACGTGCGGGAGACTGTGCACGCTCAGGGTGTAGCTGGCGGAAGCAGAATCAAAGCGGGGCGTAACTCCCAGCGCTGCGTAGTAGAGGATCTGGGGTGGGGAGAGAAACAGGGCCCATCAGCCTGGGCCGGGCAGAGGGTCTGGCTGCCCCCCACGGCCTCTGGCCTCACCCACTTGAGAGTCCACCGAGAATTCGGCCAGCGGGCTCAGCTTCTCCAGGAGGGGCTTCACGAAGCGCTGGAGGGCCCCCTCGATGTCCCAGTGCACGTCGTGGGCCTTGGGGTCGGGGTTCAGCAAACTGAAGGTGATCTCATATCCTGCAGGGGAACCAGGAATCGGGGGGAGGGAGATGTCAGGAGCCTCCCCAGGCCCGTTAAAGAGAACAAGGTACCTTCTATCATATGTGGTGGTCATGCCCGGAAGCCCAAAAATATTGGTCTAAAATATGGCTACCAGAGGCAGCGGAAGAGCGAACAGAATTTAAACTGGAGTTGTTTTTGTAAGGGGAATTATAGGAAGATTAAATATAGGTTACTACATATTTTGACAGCATCAAGAATAGTTTACGCACCATGTTGGAAACCAAATGAAATGCCTTCTGAAGAATTAGTAATTCAAAAGATTCTAGATTGTGCCGAAATGGACAAATTGACATTAAAACTAACAGAGAAAGAAGAGTCGGAGTATTACAAAATCTGGGGGTAATTGGTATAAATGGTCGAACAATAGAAAGATAAAGGAAATAAGAAAATCACTTGAGACCTTCAAGAAGAGACTGGACTGCCATTTGTCAGAAATGGTGTAGAGCCTCCCGCTTGGGTGCGGGGTTGGACTAGATGACCTACAAGGTCCCTTCCAACTCTGATTATGTTAGATATTTACATGAAATCGGTATGTATAATAACTTGTATAATGATGATGACACAGTACTGTTAAAGTCAAGATCAATATGTGTAAAAGGTGAAAAAGCAATAAAAATTAGGTTGGAGACCCCTAGTCCAACCCCCTGATCAGGCAGGAAGTCCTACACCCCGTTTAGACAAATGTCTGTCCAATCTCAGGTTACAAACCTCCAGGGTTTTCTTGGGGTGTGACTGGCTGGGAGGGCTGAAAACAGGCCCGTTGGGATGGGAAGGACATGTGAACTCACTCAACAACAACAGAAACTCTGGGCTCAATTATGGTGATAAATTGATGAGCCCCTGTATTTTTATTTTTATTTGTACATTGAACGCATGGCATCCGCAGAGGTTGGGAGCGGGGAGAGGTTAACCCTTTCGGAGAAGGACTGAGTAATCAGGAAAGTATTAGAGTATGTGCAGAGATGAATAGACTGGCAACCAAGGGGAAAGAGCAATCTTGAATATTATATGATGTGGAAAATATTTTATCAATGGTTATTGGAGAATAAAAAGGGAATTTTGGAAATGAAGAATCAAGGAGACTAGAAAATAAAGATATAGAAAAAAGACAACAATTGTTATTATATACTTATGACTGTAACTTTATATAATTGTAACTTTATATAATTATATAATAATAATTATATAATTTGTTATTATATACTTATGACTGTAACTTTGTCGCTTGTCTCCTTACGATCTATATGGACTCTTTCCTAGTATGATCTGATGGCTTATTGTACCCTGTGACTGTCATTAAGTGTTGGACCTGATGATTCTTGACTCTTGACAGATGTATCTTTTCTTTTTATGTGCACTGAGAGCATTTGCACCAGACAAATTCCTTGTGTGTCCAATCACACTTGGCCAATAAAAGAATTCTATTTTCTATTCTGTTCTATTTTTATTGTATCCTATGACTATCATTAAGTGTTGCACCTGGTGATTCTTGACTCTTGATGAATGTCTCTTTTCTTTTATGTACACTGAGAGCATTTGCACCAAGACAAATCCCTTCTGTGCCCAATCACACTTGCCCAATAAAAGAATTTTATTCTATTCTATTCTGTTCTATTCTATCTCTATCCCATCCCATTCTATTTAAATTCTATTCCTATATCCTTCTATTCTATTCTTATTGTACCCCATGACTATCACTAAGTGTTGTACCTGATGATTCTTGACTCTTGACGAATGTACCTTTTATGTACACTGAGAGTTTATGCACTAAAGACAAATGCCTTGTGTGTCCAATCACACTTGGCCAATAAAGTATTCTATCTATCTATCTATATGTAGGATGAGAACAATAAGATATAATTTCTATATCATCATTAGAAGAGCTGTATAATGTTTAGCTGTGCGATGTTATCTTAATTCTAAGCTTAGAGAATATCAATGTGAACGTCAATGACCTTGTAAATCAG